TATAATATTATATATATAATTTTTTAAAATATACATAACCTTATAAATAGATACTTTTTAAAGATATTAAAATATATATATAAATCATTTAATGATTTTTGTATATTGTAAAAATAATGAAAATTAACCTGACACGAAAGACTCATCGTAAGTAATAAAGGACTGGAAAATTATCGTATAACAATATAACTAACAATATATAAGTTAAATACCTGATGACTGAAAACAGTACGCAACAATGTTGCACTAGAATAGTCACGAAGGTATCGGTCGCAACTAAGATAGTAAGACGAATGGCAGTAGCTAAGTAATTATGAATCAATATGGGATAGTAGTACTTTTCGAGATCCACATAGTATTCCACATGATATGGAAATCCCACTGGTCGCGTCGAATATTCGGAAGTTACATTTTTGCCAATTATTTTCGGGATTATCGCGAGAAACGGAAAAAGGCTGCCAAATGCATACATGCCACCTAGAATCAGGCAATACCCAGTAAAAAATGACAATGGAATCGACATCGAATCGATATCGCTTTTTGACATCGATTCTATTGTTATTTCTTACTGAATACTTTGAAAGAAGTTACATATTTGTGTATTTTGAAATATTATTGAGTACTCAGATATTTATATAAAAATAAATGCGATTTAATTACTTTTCTCGTTAAATAAATTATTTTTTAATATATATTAATTTTTTATAAATATTTTACTGTGTAGCTGTCATACATCATGCAAACATAAAATTAATTGTTAGTGTAATTATTACCTAAAACAGTTTTTATGATTGATCAGTTTTAATATATAATATAATATAATATAGTAGTCGTTATTTCTTACCGGCATAGGCGATGGTAATGCTTCTTCCACTCTCCGCAAATCTATGCAAAATTTCGAATTCACTTTTGATAGTCCATGATCGCCAATCTCTTTGTATATGTATAAGAAGTATTTTGATCTACGACTTAAAATTCCATGTTTTTTTTTTACAAATGTGATCTCGTACTTAACCATGATCTTTTACATACCTTCTTCGTATTGCACGTTAAATTCATCAGCTTAATGATGCATCCGAAGTCTACAACGAGCGGTGGTATACACTCGATAATTGCATCAAAATCGCCATGTAACGTCACTAAAGCGAGTACCTTGAATCCAATACTTTGTTTGATAAAGAGATTAAAATAAAAAAATATGTTTCGCAAAATATAAAGACATATCGATTTACTTATAATTTTACTAATAATTTTAAATATTTTTAACTTTAAATTTCTATTTATATATCTTTTCATATTTCTCATTTTTTAAGTTTTAACCTTTGGTATCATTATATGAAGAAAAAAATCTTTTCAAGAACAGACATAGGTTGGTAGATGATTAATTATAAGAATCATAATGTAGAAAGTGTACCTGAGCGACGGCTTGCGTTACACCAATAAGCGATACTATTAAAAAAATAATCCGTCTATGTCTGTTTTTTTGGAAAGGCCATTGTCCTAATAATGAAAGTAGCATACGATTGATTCTATATAATCGAGACTGAAAGATATCATTCGACGTATCCATCTCCAACCCTTTTGGACTACTGCCATCGATATTGCCTCTTACAATTTTCATTCTAATAAAAAATTCTCTTAGAAATAGAAAGAGAGAGAGAGAGAGAGAGAGAGAGAGAGAGAGAGAGAGAGAGAGAGAGAGAGGGCGTAATAGATGTAGTGAATTACGAGAAATTGCCGATATTTACATGACTGATTGTTCCACTAGAATGATGAAAGGCTTAGACGATCAAACACTTATCTTAAAAAGATCTATGTTTATAATTGATTTTATGCTGATGCATCTTATAGTCGTCTTATACCTTGTAACAAGAACTTGATCAATACAATATCAGAATATTGTAAATTTAACGCACATCATGAATAGTATTGTCTCCCATATAATTTCATTCTTTGAATCATATTTTTGTTCGTAGAAATCGATAATGGACAATGGCTTAGAAATATTTCTTAGCAGTTCTTTCAAAACAGCTTAGTATTTACAAATATATAATATTTACAAATATATAGCAAAAATGTTATTTTATACGTGCATAAAGGTAGTAAAAAGTAGATATCCATTTATAATCATAATTTAAGAATTAATTATGTAAATTATAATAAATTATATAAATAAGAAATTATATAAATTATAATAAGAATAAATTATGATAAGAATAAATTATATCTTGATTATAACATTATTATTATTTAATAAAATAATTGATATAAATCATACATAGTAGAAAAAAACATGAAAATATCAAGAACGAATGTATGCCAACACTGTCACAAGTAATTTTGTATAATTCAGAAGTTTATATTTATTGTCTAATACATGTGTAAGAATATATAATCTTGCAGATTAGAATTTTTTAGAAAGAAAAATTAACTTTTAACAAAAAAATTAAGTCGAAGAGTAATTAATAGCTTAAACGCATCATCTTTTTTATATATAATGTGTAACAACGCACATAAAATGAATGAAAAGCGTAAATGATATATTTATATATGTATCACATATAACATTATCATCAATTTACGATATTTTATAAAGTTAATTATGAATTAGTTTTTATATCATAATTATCTGCGGTAGACGAGTTAGCGTCAAAGTGTGTAATAATATGTAGGAGCTTCGTAGAATATAATAGCCATGTCATCAGTACAAGAATAGTGATCATTGCACAGAAGTTAGTAAAAATGAAAACATATAAGACATGGACGCTGCATGACCTGAAAACAATTTATTCACACACGGATAGCTATTGCATATAATTATATTATGCATCATCATTATTATGCATTAATAATTTGTTATTAACAATACATTAATTTTATGTGTTTTGCATGAAATACTAATATTTAACTCTTTTACTTTTTAACTGATTTAATTTTTTTAAAATAATTTTAGTAATTATTGCGAAAAAATTAAACTTCGCCTTGACCTTAGACATATTGTTAAGGTCATGACCCTGACTAATCTCCAACAGATTTTAGTTAAGGTTTTGATCATCATTCGTTAACAAGTTATTAACAAAAGAAGTTTAAAAAAATAACATATAATTTCTACTATAACGAAAATTGTTAATCGATATATAGAATCTCGCTTTACCATATGTTGTAAAGTGTGAAATTGGTTTTGCGTGGAAAGTCGTGCGCTCCTATGGGAGAGGGAAGAATGGGGTGAATATCGACAGGGAGGAAAGCGAGATAGTTTTTAATATTATATTAAATTTTAAAAACTTCTGAAAATTCTTTTATTTTTCTAACTATATATATGGTAAAATGTGGTCTTTTTTTATTTTTACATAGAAAGAAAAAAATCTTCAAAGCCTCTCTCGGAAAGCTCCCTAGGCAATCCTAACCGGGTCTCCAAGGAGAGAACTTATACCCGGAGAGGAAAAACGCCCAATGGCCGGGTGTGCAGGACTCGACCGAGTCGCGATCCGTGCACAAGACACAGGACACACTGACTCGGACATCTATCTGTTAAAAAACTTTCCCTGAAAAGTATTACATCCCTGATACATGCGAGAGGACACTCCAGAATCATCGATATTACATCAAGGCGCGGTAAAAAGTGATCTAATGATTTTTTTTCATGTGTATATTATTCTCAAATTATATTAATAAAATAATGATAAATAAATTCCAGTAATTGAACGATAATATATGCAGCATGCTGAATCGCATTTGTTGAATGCTTGTAATTAAACTTAATTACATATAAAAAAAAATTAAAATTTCAAAGCAAATGAGAGTAAGGCACAATAATTGGTGAGCAGATTCAATCACAAAACAAAATTATAACAAATTCTTACATAAATGTGTTAAAATTCGAATTTTTTAAATTACATGTATAAATGCTATGTAATAATTTTTTGTCATGTGAATTATTCTCAAGTTATATTAATAGAATAATAAATTGATAAAGTAAATATTAATAAAAAAAAAAGTTTAAGTTTCTTTTTATTAATATTTATTTTAATTAAAGTATATTAATCAGTAGCGACATCTCTGCGCTTGGAAGTAATTGATGTTAATATAAATATTATAACATTTTTTTACAATTCCCTTATTTTTTCTTCACTTTCAAATAATACAATTTTATTATTTAAGGGCATATTTTATTATTTAAGGCATATATATCTAGAAATGGTAAAAAAATCGTTTCTTTTTTTACATATTTTATACATATTTTTAAAGTATAATATCTCAAAAACGTTTTTGTAGAATTTTAAATCAATCCGGCGACAAATACAAGAGCTATATACGGCGCATGCAAAAAAACGAATAGGTTTGAACGCGTTTAAAATGACAGGTAGAGGCGCGCCTGCGATAGGACGTTCAAGTTCGCGCAAGAAAAAGAGTCTTAAAAAAAAATTTTTTTTTCGCACCCAAAAATGAGCAACATTTTTTGTAAAACATCGTTATCTTTGACCAGATGCTATTTTATTCAAACGCAATATTTTAAAAAACGGCTACAAGCACAAGATCTATGTTTTAATTTTTTTAAACTGTCATTTTGTTTTTAGATGAGTCTTGTGCAAGCAGCAATGATCATCGCAAACTCCATTTTATAAAACGTGATGAAAATTTGAATAGCGACTCTATTTTATATTTTTCAATAAAATTTTAATGATAAAAAAATAAACAAAGATATGATCTTTACAATGGAATAAACACGACTTCACTATCCCTATCCGTTTTTCCACAAAAAATTCGTAAAATTAGGCTTCGTTTTGACTAAATATATATGCCCCCTTAATTTTCTACGAAAGAATGTTATAAAAGAAAAGAAACGTAGTCCTACGAATGTACGTTTTTAACATTCTCATTTTTGTCTATTAATAGAGTTTGGATAATAATACGTAAATATCATTAATTAGGTTTAAAACTGTTATTGCAGAGACCGTAATAACATAAAATATGATGATGATAAACGTAACACCTTAAACAAAATTAAAAATTTTGTTTTTATAGAATCATTGAACGTATACATGCTATAAAATCATTACACTTACCGCATTAAAAGTTACATATGATAATACAATAACTTTGCCCAGTTTCAGTGTCGATGGTTTTTCACTTCTCATCATTATCATTATAAGAAGTTTTCTTGCTGCTACTGGCATATTGTACCACTTTGTATTATATCTGCAAATTTTACAAGAAATCTATTAGAAATTATATCAGGTATTTATCTACTTGCTACTTCATAATATTTTTATCAATTAATATGACATATAATTTATAAATGTGTTACTTTTTTATTGTACAAAACGTACGCTGATTTAAACACTTTCTCACTGGAATCTATAATTTTCTGACCCTGCCAATTTTCGAACAATACATTAAGCAAAAGTCCATTTAAATAAACATAATTATTTATATCTCCGCTAACGTTTTCCATGTTGTTTACTATCTGTTAATCAAAACGTAATCAAACGTAAATAA